ATTTGCTTGCTTCCATTTCATTTAGTTCTTTTTCTGGAGATTTCTTCTATTTTTTTTTCATTTGTGACATGTTTCTTTGTCTCTGCATTTTGGCTGCTTCCCTGTGTTTGTTTCTATGTATTAGGTAGAGCTGCTATGTCTCTTGGAATTGGTAGAGTGGCCTTGTGTAGTAGGTATCCTGCAGGGCCCAGTGACTCAGCCTCTCCAATCACCTGAACTGGGCACATTAGGTGTGCCCCTGTGTGGGCTGTGTGCACAGTCGTTTTGTAGTTGAGCCTTAATTGTTGGTGTCACTGGGAGAAATTAACCTCCAGGCCAATTGGCTGTGATGACCAGCTGCAACTATAGTGGAAGAGTTGCTGTGCAGGAGTTACCCTTCGTGAGCAGTCTGCAGATGGCTTCTACCAGTGTTTGGCATGGAAGTGAGGCCAAGCTGTTTTAGGCCTTTTTTTTTTTTTAAGTTCTTTATTGTTGAAAGTATTACATATGTCCCCTTTTCTCCCCATTGTCTTCTTCCAGCCTACACCCAGCTCCAGCCCCAGCCTTTAACACCCCCCTATTGTCTGTGTCCATTGGTTATGCTTATATGCATACAAGCTTTTTTGTTGATCTCTCTCCCCCAATCCACGCTCCCCTGCCTTTCCTCTGATGTTTGACAGTCTGTTTGATGATTCTATTTCTCTGGATCTTTTTTTTGTTCATTAGTTTATGTTCATTATATTCCACAATGAGTGAGATTATCTGATAGTTATATTTTTCTGACTGGCTTATTTTGATTGGCATAATGCTCTCCAGGTCCATCTATGCTATTGTAAATGGTAAGAGTTCTTTCTTTTTTTATAGCAGCCTAGTTGTAAATTGCGCTGCTATAAACGGAGGGGTGCATATGTTCTTTCTGACTGGTGTTTCTGATTTCTTGGGATATATTTCTAGAAGTGGGAACACTGGGTCAAATGGGTCAAATTTTTAATTTATTGAGGAAACTCCATACTGTTCTCCACAGTGGCTGCACCAGTCTTTATTCTCACCAGCAGTGCATGAGGGCTCCTTTTCCTCCTCATCCTCACCAGCACTTGTCATCTGTTGATGATAGCCATTCTGACTGGTGTGAGGTGGTACTTTATTGTTTTGATTTGCATCTCTCAATCATTAGTGACTTTGAGCATGTTTTCATATGCTTCTTGGCCTTCTATATGTCCACTTTTAAGAAGTTTTTATTTAGGTCCTTTGCCCATTTTTTGATTGGATTGTTTATCTTCCTTTTGTTAAGTTGTCTGAGTTCCCTGTAAATGTTGGAGATTAAACCCTTATCGGATATTACATTGGCAAATATGTTCTCCCATACAGTGGGCTTTCTTGTTATTTTGTTGATGGTTTCTTTTGCTGTGCAGAAGCTTTTTATTTTGATGCCCATTTGTTTATTTTCTCCTTAGTTTCTATTATCCTAGGAGATGTGTTGGTAAACATATTGCTTCTAGCTATATCTGATATTTTGCTGCCTATGGATTTTACTAAGATTTTTATGGTTTCCCATTTAAGTGTTTTATCCATTTTGAGTTTACTTTTGTGTATGGTGTAAGTTCGTGGTCAAGTTTCATTTTTTTGCATGTATCTGTCCAATTTTCCCAGCACCATTTATTGAAGAGACTGTCTTGACTCCATTGTATGCTCTTGCCTCCTTTGTCAAATATTAATTGAGCATAAAGGTTTGGATCAATTTCTGGGTTCTCTGTTCTGTTCCTTTGGTCTATATGCTTGTTCTTGTGCCAGTACCAGGTTGTTTTGAGCACAGTGGCTTTGTGATATAATGTTGTGCTATAACTTGATGTCCAGTATTGTGATCCCTCCAAATTTGTTCTTTTTTTTTTTTCAAGATTGTTGCAACTATTTTGTTTTGTTTTGTTTTTTATTCCATATAAATTTTTGGAGAGTTTGTTCTAGGTCTGTGATATGTACCATTGGTATTTTAATAGGGATTGCATTGAATTTTTAGATTACTTTGGCTAGTATGGACATTTTCATGATGTTGATTCTACCGATCCATGAACACAATATATTCTTCCACATGTTTATATCTTCCTCTACCTCTTTTTTCAACAACCTGTAGTTTGCTTAATAATGCTTATTTCAAGTACAGGTCTTTTATCTTCTTAGTTAAGTTTATTCCTAGGTACCTTAAATTTTTTTTTTGTTGCAATAGCAAATGGGATTGCTTTTTTAGTTTCTCTTTCTGTGAGTTCATTACTGGTGTATAAAAATGCCAATGATTTCTGGGTGTTAATTTTGTATCCTGCTACATTGCTGAATTCATTTATTAAATCAAGTAGTTTTTTGATGAAGTCTTTAGGGTTTTCTATGTACAATATCATGTCATCAGCAAATAATGACAATTTTACTTCTTCTTTAGCAATTTGGATGCCTTTTATTTCTTCTTCTGGTTTGATTGTTATGGCTAGCACTTCCAGTAGTATGTTGAATAGGAGTGGTGAAAGTGGGCATCCTGTCTTGTTCCTGTTCTTAGGGGAAATGGTTCTAGTTTTTGCTCTTTAAGTATGATATTGGTTGTAGGTTTTTCATATAAGGCTTTTATTATGTTGAGGTATGATCCCTCTATTCCCACTTTGATGAGAGTTTTGATGAAGAAAGGGTGCCTTTTATTGATAGGTATGGGGCAGTCTGATGCCAGCTGCTGCTTGTTTGAGAGATTTTAAGAATCTCTGAAGCCTGAGCCAGAACAGGCCATTCATATGGAAAAACCACTGAAAACAGCTTGGGTGGGGCTGTAAATTTGATGGGGCAGGGTCTCATGGATCACCAGGGCAGATCAAACAGTGAGAGACAGGCTGATAGAAATTTAGATATGGCTGCCAGTTATCTCTGCTATGGGGTGGGGGTGTCTCAGCATAGGAACAATGACCCCCTGTGAGCACCTGTGTCTGGGAGAAGGCTGCCCCAAGTTCTTGCTCCAATGACAGACACTTCAGCTCCTTCCTGTATGTCCTTGGATCTCCCTGAGCCATTGCCCCGGCATTGGAGTTTAGAGGGACGAGTCCATGTAAGTTTGTGTGCTGGCCCTTTAAAAGGAACTGCCAGAGTCTCTAGCAACCTCTGCATCACTCAGCCATAATCCCTGATGGTTTTTATAGCCTGAAGTTATGGGGAGGGGTCTGGGGAGAGAAGCTCTGGAACTCTGAGCTAGGGGTCTGCTGTGGGGCTGGGACCCTTTGCTCCTGATGGGAGGCATCCACAGCCAAGATATCCCTCCTGATTGAAAAAAAACACCACATGTGGGTATTGACCTGCCCGTTCCAAGCTTCCACCCCTCCTATCAGTCTTGATGTACTTTCTTTACTTCTCTAGCTGTAGGACTTTTTTCAGCTAGATTTCAGGTAGTTCTGAATGATAGTTATTCTATATTTTAGTTGTAATTTTGATATGGTTGTGAAAGGTAGCAAGCATTCCAGCCACCTATTGCCACCATGTTTGTTCTCTCCAAAAAGTATCAATTTTTAAAAACTAAAATGAAAACTAAATATTTAAATAACCTAGCATAAAATTTACTTGCATACTGAAAAAGAAACTTTTTTTGGTCTGTTTTTACATTATCAAAACTCTTTAACTTATCTTCACAGAGCTAGAGTTATTAGTTTATATAAATTTATATAAGAAATATGAACATAAGTGGTAAAATACCAATTATAACTTTAGTAGAGATAAATGAAGTTGAATTCATTATTGATCTAACAGGAAAGATTAGTGCCTAAGAAAATAATAAGATAGGAAAGCCTTTAAAAGGCATCAGACTGATAAAGATAATTATTTTTGTGTACCCCTAAAGAAATTAAATATGGCTCTACTTTATATTGGAGAAAATGGAAGTAATTGTAGAACAAAACATATGGTATAGTAAGGACACAAAAATATTAAAAAATGATTGAGACTTTTATTACTCCCCAAAGTCTGAACATTAGAATTTGAATTTAGCCAATGAAATTTTCCATATCAGTGGTTACTTGCCAACTTGGGGTGAAGTAAAGTGGAAAAGGCACCAGAAAACCTTTGGGATTGAAGGATATTTTCACTATCATGATGGTGGCAATGGTTTCATGCCTTTTTGTCTATGTCAAAACTTATTGCATCGTAAACTTTAAATATATGCAGCTTATTGCATGCCAGTTATACTTAATAAATATGTTTTTTAAAACTTCCCCCACCCCAAGTACACCCAAATCTGTTAAGTTACAGAGTTATATAACTCTTCATTGAGATGTGGAGCAAGATCCCTATAAAATGGTCTTACATAATTTCAGAATGAAGACCACCTTATTGATTTCTCACTTTATATAAGTTGTAGACAAAAGCATTTCAGTGAAACATTGGTAAGAATATATATTTCTTAAATAATTGAGAACCAAATGCTAAAGTCAACAAAAAATTAGATATAAATTGCTCTCAAATAAATAACGTATGTTTTATCCTTAAAATGCAATGCTAACCTTTCATGTTGAAACTTTTAAACAGTGCAAGCTAAAACAGATGGTTATCTCCTTAACTTCTAAAATACATTATAATTCTATAATTATCAAATATTACTAATAATGTAATGGTAACATATACATAATGCACATTAAATTGATTTTATTTTTTTTAAGACATTCAAATGAATTTAGAGTTACTTCACAGTCAAAACATCAAATTAATAATGTGTAAAATTAAGGGCAAGAGTATAATTGAAGGTTGGGTAATCACTTTCTTATGAAAGAGTCATGGTTAAGCATTTTTCATGATTTTATATAGTTGGGTGTCAATGTGATATTTAGGTATAAAACTAAATTAAGATATATGACATTTATAACTAAATGCAATATGGTCTAAAATAAGCTTACATATGAATAAGATTATTGGTATCTGTAGTGGAAAATGTTTTGATTTTAAAAACTCAACCAATCCTTCTGTTTCTGGCTTCAGAGAGGCTGACTGTGTGAAACTTTGGCACTTACTTTCCGATTGTATTGGGTAACATTGTAAGTTGATTGTCGTCCACTTTCAGAGTAGTTAGTTTTTTCAACAGTCCTAAAATAGAGAAGTTTTATTAATATACAAGAACAGATTTCTGATGGAAAATGCACTATAAAAGAGATAAAATAATTACTTGTGATGAATGTTTGTTATGCTAATTGGCTGCACTCTGCTTATATAAACCTACAAACTGATATCTGTGTGCAGTCTAGTTTTGACCTTCCAGTTGCAAAAAATTACTTATGTCAAGAGGAGTTCAAGTTCATCAATGCAGACAAGTAAACAAAACATAGGGCTCCATAGAAACTCGAGTTGACAGTGATACTGCCACATTTCCATTTTCTATTATGCAGCAATTGGACCAGATGATATTTTTCAAGGCAGATGTGACTTAATATTTAATTAATTCCTAAGCACTAATAACTAACATTCCTGTTGTCATACAAATGGAAAACAAATCTGAATTAAGCCCAATAATTAACAAATGGGTACTGAATTAGTACACTGCAGTGGTTATAATTATAGACTTGGAAAATTAGTACATATGACGTCATACTCTTTTTGTTACCATAAAACCTTGACTTGGATCAGCAGTAAGCACAAAAAGTTGAAATTTTAATACACTATGCAGAACTTGCCAAGAATGAAATTTCAACTATTTATCTCTGCTGTCTGATTTATGCTCTCCACACCCATATTGCTTGCTCTACTCCCATGGTTTTAATGAATATTAACCACAGAGTAATTGAGAACTACTTCCTTTATCCAGCTATAGCATCTACATTAATAACAGATGAATATGTAAATTGACCATCCCTCCATGACACCCACAGCCAATGAGGAGAAAATATGCAAATTAGTGGGACAAAGATGGCGGTAGCCACAGAGCCAGCTAGAGCAGGTGGGAGGCTTGGGTTGCCCCTGGAAACAGAGGAAGCCAAGCTTCCCACCTGCTTGGACTAACAGCCGAAGGAGGGGCCTGTGGGCGGTGACCATGGAGCTGGCCTGGGTGCATGGGAGGCTTGGGTTGCTGGGGCCGGCCGCTGAGGGAGGGGCCTGCAAATGGCCCAAAGCCCCTCACCCAGGCTGGCCCCACCACCATGGGGTGAGGGTCCCTGCTGGGGGGTGTGGTCAGCCTGCAAACAGCCATCAGCCCCTCACCCAGGCTGGCCAGGCACCCCAGCAGGGACCCCCACCCTGAAGGGGGTGTGGCCAGCCCCCAAACATCCCTAAGCCCCTTACCCAGGCTGGCCACGCCTCCATGGGGTGAGGGTCCTGGCTGGGGGGCGTGGTCAGCCTGAAATCAGCCCTCAGCCCTTCACCCAGGCTGGCCACGCCCCCCCAGTGGGGACCCTCACCCCAATGGGGGCATGGCTGGCCGGCAAACCACCATAGGCCCCTCGCCCAGGCCGCCCTGCCCCTCAAGGGAACCCCCACCCTGATCCGGGACACCCTTCAGGGCAAACCAGCTGGCCCCCACCCATGCACCAGGCCTCTATCTATACTAATAAAAGGGTAATATGCTAATTAGACGGGGAGACCTTCCAGGAGACCTCCCGGACGTTCTTCTGGACAAAGTCAGAGGTAGAGGAGGTAAGGGGCCAAGAGGGGAAGGCAGTTGTATGTGATCAGGCCGGAGGGGGGTCTGTTGGGGGTGATCAGGCCAGTGGGGGGGCAGTTGGGGATGAGCAGGCCTTCAGTGGGGGTCAGTTGGGGGCAAGCAGGCTGGTGGGGGGGTGAAGTTGGGGGTGAGCAGGCCAGCAGGGGAGCAGTTGGGGGTGATCAGGCTGGTGGGGGGGGGCAGTTGGGGGCAAGCAGGTTGGCAGGGGGGCAGTTGGAGGCAAGCAGGTGGGCAGGCAGAGTGGTTAGGGGCAATCAGGCAGGCAGGCAGGTGAGCGGTTAGGAGCTATCATCCTGGATTGTGAGAGGGATCCCAGATTGGAAAGGGTGCAGGCCGGGCTGAGGGACACCCCTCCCCCCCATGCACGAATTTTATGCACTGGACCACTAGTAACATATAATATCAATATGGCTTAAATAGCCAAAATCCAAGGACAAAGCATTAATAGCTGGCTAATTTTTTTGTTTTACATTAGAAATATGCACATATATTCTAGACTACTTGTTTTGCAGAAAACTTCTGATGGGTACAAGTTTGTGTTTAGGAAATGCCGTTAAGCAAAGTAAAACAGATTTTTTAGTGAAGTTTTTCTAGGAGTTTTTAATATATTACTGTAGCAATGTGTCTGTCCAAAGTTATGGCATTTGTGTACATACCTGAGGATTATCTCGTACAAGCAGTGTTTTGTGAACAGGCTTTGAGAAGATCATGCCCACCTATTGCAAGTATTGTAAGGATTCCTTAAAGGCCTAGAGTAAGTCACAAAAATTCTGAAATAAAGCTGTGGCTGCACTTTGAATTGCAGTATGATCGGTTACACAGTCTTCAGAGGCACTCACAATCTCTACTCTGAGGGAGAGAAATGTGATCCCTGTCAGACTGTTTGGAAAAAATGCCCGTAATATTTAGAGCTTAATACATCAGCGCGTGACCCCAGGACACAGTACTGAAAACAGCCCAGCATCTGAAAACGAGGACAATGCACATTGGGGTCATTTATCTCTGAAGCTGGGACACCCACTGCCATATTCATCTCTGTTCAAAGAGTGACTGAGTCACCTTAGCTTCTCTGGTGTGTACGTTAAAATATCAACCTTGAACGTGTAAAAGAACTCCTGAGCTTGCTCATCAATTGTGAAAAGAAAACAGGACTATGACTCATAGGTAAATTTTCTATGACGTGTTAACTCTGATCAAACTGGTGGAGCTGGAGGAGGGCTGATTTTCTCAACATCACTTGACGGGGTCACAAGAAGTTTTGGGCTGAGCCAACACCAGGAAGCTAGCTAGGTCTCAAAGCTTTCTTTAAGAGCATTGCAGTCCCCAGGTGTGATGTAGTAGTGAGAAAATTGTGAGTCAGGTTAAGAATTCAGGCCAAAAGATTGATGTAATAGATGTTTCTAAAGAATGGGGGAGTGGCTCTGACAATTGACAGACGTTTCTACAGCTTTGAAAGTTGAAGCAAGATAGACCTCCCTGCTTAGTTCCATGTCAGTGTATTGGAACCTCACTCATTTGTGATGTGGTTACTTTGTCACTCATATATTCCATCCAAGAGGCACTTCTTGAACAGATACTGGAGCTTTTGTAGGCACCTGATTGCCCTTGGAATGGTATTAGGCCAGTGGCCTCACCATCATTGCTACTCATTATTTTCCTCTGGCAGATAATTCCTTCACTGCATTTCTATATCACATCTGCTTGGATTCTCCTTGTCTACCTTACAGGAACCAAAAGTATTTCATCTTATTCTTTGCCTTCTACTTTCACCCTTCCCCAAGTCCCAACCTCTTTACCCTATACTCCAAACTAGGAAGTACTAAAGAGAAAGAAAAAGGAGGCCTTTTACCATGATTTTAGCTATTAATATATAATTAGTAGTAAATATATTTAAATATTAATGTAATTTATTTAATACTATAGCTGATATTTACATGAAATTTATACACATGCAATAGAATTTTAAAAGCCTAAATACTGTGCACTCATTCAATCTAAGATTATAATAATAATTACACTATTATAACAGCTAATATTTAGTACTTACTATGTTCCAGGTAATATTGCAAGCAATGTTACATAGATTAATTCATTTATTCTTCAAGGTCACAGAGCTAGCAGAAAAGCCAGAATCTGAACTGCTAATTTCCTAGCCTACTTTCTTAAAGGAAGATAGTTTAAACAAATAAATTACAACATATTTTATCTCTTTATGTGATATTTTTATTTCCAGGATTTCTAATTGGTTATTTTTTAAAATAACTACCTGTTCTTAGTCATAGCTTCTGTTTTTATTTTATAAGTTATTATTTTGAGACAAACATTTTTCTTCCTTTTATCTATTTGAAGATCTAAACATACTTAAACTCTTTTTTTTTATATTGCTTGATGACTTCAGTTTCCCTTGGGTAAACTTTCCTACTTGTTTGAATATTCGAATTGCCATAATAATATTAGCTTAAATTTCTTTTGGTTTACATGCTCATTTGTGAGGGTGAATGTATTCTCATTATTTATGCTCACCCCTGCCTGTCTGGCAGTTTCATGATTATCTCCACCTGACCCTCATGTTTCTGGAGTTCAGAACTAGGTCTTACATTAGCAACACGATGTTCTCATCCCATGTGGATATTGCAGATCTAGTCCAAACCAGCTGTGACTAGCCACAGTTTCCAGCAGTGAATCTTTATATGTTCTTGCCTTCCACCCTAGCTTCACATATTAGCTGTAGGTTTTTGCAGCAGTCTCTCTTCACAGATAAGGGGTTCCTTCTTCAATCTCCTGTAAATTTGAGTTCCCTTGTTATGTTTAAGGTCTTTTTTTTTTTTTTCACAGCAGGAAAGGAATGTAAGTCTGCTACTGCTGTTTGAGGTCTGGAGTCTCTCAGGCCTGGGGTTACTGGTATGTTTTTATTCTATCTCAGGTTAAGGTAGATGTTCATTCTTCTTAAGTATGTCTAAATTATTTTATTTTTTGAATATCTGAGGAGCACTTACCATATACCAGGTATAGTTCTTGGTATCAACGAGGCAGTAACGATATGAGTTATTTTTCTATTCTCATTATGTCTTTGAAGAGGTATGGAGTGGTGTTTGAGTAGGAGTGTATCTTGACTGGAGAATGCTCTTTTTACCATTATACTACCTTACCTTCTATTGCACAAAAGAATATTTCCTAAACTTGCTTGATCATAGGTTTGATTTAGGATGTTTAATAAACATACAGATTAGAGGGCTTATCACAAACTTACTGAATAAGAATTTTCAGAGTGAGAGTGTGGAAATGTATAAGTGTTTAATAAAGCACGCAGATAAGTCTTATGACAGAGCAGATTGGAGAAATCTATACTAATAAAAGGGTAATATGCTAATTAGACCAGACATCTTCTGGACATCCATCCAGATGTCCTTCTGGAAAAAGCCATGGTGGCGGGGGCCAAGGCAGAAGCAGTTAGGGGTGATCAGGCTAGCAGGGGAGAGCAGTTAGGGGTGACCAGACCAGCAGGGGAGGGCAGGTAGGGCAACCAGGCTGGCAGGGGAGGGCAGTTAGGGGTGACCAGGCTGGCAGGCAGAGGCAGTTAGGGGCAACCAGGCAGGCAGGGGAGCAGTTAGGGGTGATCAGGCAGGCAGGGGAGCAGTTAGGGGAGACTAGGCTGGCAGGCAGAGGTGGTCAGGGGCTATCAGGCAAGCTGGAAGAGGCAGGTGCTATCAGGCAGGCAGGGGAGCAGTTAGGGGCATCAGGCAAACAGGCAAAGTGGTTAGGGGCGATCAGGCAGGCAGGTGAGCAGTTAGGAGCCAATGGTCCTGGATTGAGAGAGGGATGTCTGACTGCCTAAACCAGCAGTTGGCATTTCCCAAGGGGTCCCGGATTGGAGAGGGTGCAGGCTGGGCTGAGGGACGCCCCCCTCTCCCCCACACCGCATGAATTTTGTGCACAGGGCCTCTAGTATTGTTATAAATATGTTATTATATAAATCAAAAAGTCATCAAATTGAGAAGGAAAAGAAAAGCTATCCTGTCTTGTTAAAATTACATTCTCAATTAGCCTGAACATGAAAGTAATAGGATACTAAAGAATAATTTGGGAAACTACCTTGTCTTCTAGCTTCCCTTCAACCAGGCTGCCTCAGTTGTGACTTAATTTTCAGAAGGATTAATAAGTTCCAGAACATATGACATGTTTAATTCAGAGTGTTAAAAACCATATTCCAAAGTTAAGTTATTTGATGATTACCCTACTTGATGAGTTCTCTCATAAATAATAGCAAGATAACTATGCAAAAAATTTACTCATTATTTAAATTAGATTCTTTTATTATTCTACTAATATAAAAATTTAAAACAAAAGTGGATTGAATGCTTAATATATACTAACAAATTATCTGCCCTCATGAATCTCAGCATGTAAAAGACAATATGTCTTTTTAAAATAATAGAAAATAAAATAAAGATATTTTATATTTATTGTATATTTATCTTATTTCTAGATCACAGCAATGTTACAATAGTATCAAAAATAGATTATAGATACACTATGTAAATAGAAGCTACTGTAATAAAATTACTGTAAATCTAAGATATATATATTCCTTACAATAACATTTTCAGTTAGGAGATCTGAAAAAATTTAAATATATCAATTTAGTAAGATCATTTTCATAAGAGAGTCTTCTTGAATTTGATAACGAGTTACCATCTCATTTTAAGATAGCAGTAAAATACTATTTTATCATCTTGAATAATGAAATTGCTAATTTATTAATATCAAGCTAACAGTATATTCCCCACATCTACAGACAAACTATACTGCCAAGAAAGAAAATTACATATTTGATAACATTTATGGCAAAATATATTCTCACCTATAGAGTCCGGCAACTGTTGCAACATATTGGATGACAGTAAGAGGTCCTCAAGGGCTTCACATCCGGAAATGTCCATGTCCACTGTTTCTATTCTGTTTTTTGACATATCCAGGTACACCAACATCTTTAACTTCCCTATAGACTTGATGACATTGCATAAACTCAGGGTTAGCTGAGAAACTTTCAAAAGACATTTTAAAGTTGTAAAAACCACAAATTAAATTAATTTTAAAAGAAGCTACAACAATAACAAGTGTTGGCAAGAATGTGCAGAAACTATAACGCTTATACATCGCTAGTAGAAACATAAAATGGTGCAGCCACTTTGGAAAAAAACAGTTTGGCAGTTCTTTGAAATGTTAAATTAGAGTTTCTATATGATTCAGTAATCCCTAGGTATGTGTTCAAGAATGAAACATATGTCTACACAGAAACACGAATGTTCGAAGCAGTATCATTCACAATAGCCAAAAAGTGGACACAATCCAACTGTCCATTAATTGACAAATAGATAAATACAATGTGGTATATCTGCATGTTGAAATATTATTTATAAAAAAGTACTGATACATGCTACAAAATGTATGAACCTTGAAAACATATGCAATGAGAGATGCTAGTCACAAAAGTCCACCCATTGTATGATTCCACTATATGGCTATCCAGAATAGACTGATTGATAGGGAGTAGATTAGGGTTGCTAGAGGCTGGGGGAAGAAGGGAGTGGGAGTGACTGCTAATGGCGTCAGGGTTTCTTTTGGAGGTAATGGAAATGTTCTAAATTTAGATTTTGGTGATGACTGCACATCTATATGAGTGTTCTAAAAACCAATGAATTGCATTCTTTAAATGGGCAAATTTTATATGTGAATTATATTTCAATACAGCAGTTAAAAACACGCACAGCAATAATCTCAAAGTTGCCACTGAATTAAATAACATGAAGTTGCTACCAGAGCACCATATGTTGACATGTTGATTCTTAAAATTTCAAATGCATAAGAAAGGTTTTACACGGTGCTTTGGACTTTATACTAAGCAGATTCAATATTTTGTTCACTTAACAATACTTTTTGAGGATCTACTGTGAGTTAGGGCTTGTGTTATATACCAGAGAACCACTATGACGAAGTCAGCTAAGGATGGGGAGAGACTGGTCATGATACAGACAAAGTCTTTATCGTGAAGGAGCTCAGAGTAATGAAGGAAACCATCAAATAAACAAATGATTATCATACCCTGCGATATGGCACTGAAAAAAGCATGTAGGGAATGCCACAGAAGCAGTCCTGCAAATTGCCTGGAAGACACTGCTCGTCAAGAAGAGAAGAACCCGTACATGGAAGAGAGAACAGCACATACATTCCCAGAGGAGTGTGAGAAAGCACGGCATGTTTGCGGAAGGTGAGAAATTCAAAGTGACAGCATATCGTGATGAAGTTAGGATGGTAAGAAGCCAGCTGTTAAAAGGCCTTACATTTACGCGAGGAGATATGCACTCTATCTAACAGGCACGGAAAGCCGTTCAAGGCTTTTCAGATGAAAAATGACATGACTGGACTTGTGCTTTGAAATAATAACTTCAGGGAATTGTAAGGAGAAGATTCGTGACTGGAGTCAGAGTGACTCATTAGGAAGATCTGGAAGCAGTTTAGCGGAGGAGGTGAGAGGGACCTGAATTCATGCAGAAATGAGGATGAAGAGGCAATGGGCTCAAGAAAGATGTCGAAGTGAAATGATTGAGTAACTGATCGCTGAGCAGGGGGCAGGAATCAAGTCATACCTTGGGCAGAAAGCGAACAGTAATGGCTTAGTAGAGACAATGGACAATAGGACTTCAAGCAAGATGAAAGTCTTAATTTACCTTGTCTTTAAGGGCATGTCTTGCAAATAAATGTCTCACACATATCAGTGTTCAGTGGTTCATCTGCTTAGTCTACCTGTGTACACTTTACTATAGCGTGTCTACTTATTTGACAAAGTATAAATAACCAAATACAGAAAATAAATTTATTACGAACACAAGCTCACAGCTGGCACTGTGCTAAGTACTTTATATTTATTATTTGATTTAATGCTTTATATTCTTGCCACTCAAAATATGCTTCGCAGACCAGCAGCACTGGCGCCACCTGGGGGCTTGTCTGTAATTTGGACGCTTAGACCCACTCCAGACCTACTGAGCCAGAATCTGTCCTTTCACTCACATTAAAGCTTAGAGGTTCAGGACTGTTACCCATTGGGTTCCCTGGGAAGCAGAGACAAAGAGAAGTTTATGAGAGAGTGTTCTTAGAGTCAATAACAGTGGGAAGAAAGAGGTAAGGAAGGACGTAGGATTGGGCAGATGAAGAAGTTGGGCTGTGATCAAGTCTTGAGGAAGTTTTCAGCTGACCCTTTATGGAGCACTGAAGTGGGAATTGCCTTAAAGTTGTCCTGAGTGGGGTGAAGGGGCCAGGCTTTTACACCCCTGCATGGATTGGTCATTGGATGGAGGTCTCCCAGAATAGGGATGTGACCCTGGGTGAGGAGGTTCTCTTCAGCTGAAGGCAGTTCCTGAAGAGGGTGGGGAGCTGCAAGCAGTAATTCCAGAAGCTGGGGAAATAGAGTAAGCTCTTCATTCCAGGAGGGTGATGCAGCATCGACTGCAAGTAACCTTCCAAGGTTACCCCATTAAAAAGGGGTAGAGCTAAACTTAAACTCACCTTTATTGGATTACTCACTACAAAGCCTATTGATTATATTGGCAATTCTGCCCTCTAACTCCCAAAGTAACACAGCACTATGGCTCTAGCCCTGCTCCCTCCGCTCCCAACAGTGGGAACAAAGTTAGGGAGTAGGTTAATACTTGCCAGACTAGGAACTGAGTACTTTGGGTGAGTCAGGCCAGAGAGCTGAGCTGCTCCCCATGCCTAGCAATATGTCATTTGGAAAAATACTGTCACTTTACTTACAGCTTTCCACCCCAAGGAACTATTATGTTGCCTTATCTCATTCTTCTCTTCTGGTGAGGAAGGGAAAAATGATATATGTGTTTATGTGTGTGTGTATCTTTTGTTCCTTTATTATGAGCAACTTTCTTCTTTGAAGCTTCTTTCATTGCTATCTCTAGGACAACTCAATATTTTGGTTTAAAGTTTCTAAACATCTTTTTAAAAAAACCAAAACAAAATAATTCTTTGGCGTTTCTTTTTAATTTTTCTAAACTCTCACTCTCAAGCACCTTATAAAGGCAATAGTATCTTAGAGTGAAAGAGGTCTTGAGTCCCAGTATCTCAGAGTCCTTGAGGATATGGAGTGTCCCTCCAACAGCCCTCTGGACAGCGAAGCAAGGCCATGGTGAACAGTGGAGAGCAAATGGGAAGAGCAGAAGCCATCACAAGCAAAACAAGATATTGAAGTTTGTTTAAAAGTAATTGTGGACTCAATACATTGTCTACTCATATTTTGGTTGATTGATCTCAGAGTGATGGTCACAAGACAGTTATATAGAAGAACAATTTTTCATCATTATCTATTTGCTTCTCTGATGTATGAAAACTACAGTGGAAAAATGATAGCCCAGGCTTCTACAATTATTTAAAAAGTACATTACCTTAACGTATTATGATAGATGAACTAATAATAAAATAAACTTGCTTTTATTCCTGTGTCTTATGACACTAAATTTTTAGGATTAATCATTCTGTGAAACAGACACATAGGCTGAAAATCACATTCAAGATTAGTCTTTCAAAGTCATGTGCTTCTAGGTAATTGTGTAACAGCTGTTTGCCAGCACTGAAATGAGAAAGCCACACCTGTTTGACAGGGGAGCTGTGGGGTATTTCCACAAGGAGTATAGCAAAATGTAAAATTCAAGTGTACTCGCTAACATAAGAGATCTGCTTAAAGTTGTTAGTATACAAAAAAAATCTACTATTGAAACAGACAAATTAAGTAGCATTATTTGTTTTACAGATTTCATATTACCTTGCCATTTAAATAATAAGCTTACTAAGGGATTTGAGTTCTGAATTAGTTTGCAAGATCAGATTTTGGGAATGTAAAGATTGTGAAAAGCAAGATAAACCTAATTCTCATTTGTACCTTCTACTAATTCTATAGCGATAAAACTTGGAACATTATAGTGAACAACAGCCTGGGGAGTTGGTGTGAATTACAGTTCCACCATTTACCGGCTGTTTGACCTTGGGGCAGTCACTTAGTTACTTACTCTTTCCATTTCAGTTTCCTCATCTATAACAGGGGGATGGTAAAAACCCATTTTCATAGTTATTATGAGGATTCAATGAGTCAGTATTTGTAAAACACCTAAATAGATGCCTAGCCCATGATAAATGCTGTGTGTTTTGAATAAATGAATAAACACAGTGAAGAAACACGTAGAAACATCTTGATTCCTCGATCTTGCACAGGAAATTGATGAGGATCTTACCTGTGTTGCCCCAGGATGTGTACATACCTTCAATATGGCACAAATCAAGCTGTACTGTGTGTAGTGGAATCCAGATCTTTCTCTCTGTTATGTGTGAGTGAGCTCCTCAAACAAATATATTCAAGATCATTGAATATATTATCTTTGTAACCTTGACATTAGGATAGTTTCTGGTTCAGATGGGTGCATTTGTAAGTGGTTTTTGAATAACAATAAATAGGAGATATGCATGCTTTTTTGCTTTGTGTCTGCGATGATGGCAGAAATGTATTTTTTCGATAAGAAAAGAAAGCATTTTCTCCCTTATCTTTTGCCAGATTTTCTCCTTTATGTGGTCTCAGGCTTGTTCAAAAGAGAATAAGCTTCTTGTTTCTGTTGCTTTTGTAATCATTTAAAGAAATTTTCAATGTCAATTCAAAAGAGAAATAAAATTGGCTTATGGGAATGTGCAGCTAAATCTCAGTGGTGGAAGAAGGATTATGAATCTTCTGCCCTGGCTAATTAGCCTAATGGAGGAAGTTTGGAATTGGCTATCACCACTGGCAGCCTTGTGGCTGCTGTGTGTGTGTACACATGCTTATTTTAAAAATATATTTTTGTTGATTTTAGAGAGGAAGCGGGGGGGTGGTGGGGAGGGGGGAAAGAGAGAGATAGAAACATCAATGATGAGAGAGAATCATTGATTGGCTGCCTTCTGCACACCTGGGGATTGAGCCTGCAGCCCAGGCATGTGCCCTGACCAGGAATCAGAAGAGAACTGTGACCTCCTGGTTCATAGGTGGATGGATGCTCAACCACTGAGCCACGCCGGCCGGCCTACATATGCTTATTTGAATGTGTGCATTGTGATAGGCAGAGGCAATGTTTTATGGAAAATCATTCTTTCACTGGATGGAAAAAGAAGGAATAGTCACACTAAATGAGTTGATTGGCAAATCTGCTTAGGAGACACTGGACAGCCCATTAATTGAGGGAAAAATTTGACTATAATTTTACTTTCTGGTGTTACACCGTATAATCCTTGCCATTTAAAAAAAATTCAAATGGGTTTTACTAAATATCACCTGAACTAAGAAAGATTTTTTTATTTTGTGGAAGAGATCTAACAATATGATCAGAAACCATTTTCTAATTACCAAGAAGAATAAGGATGATTGCACAAAACAAAGAGTTGGTATTGTATATGGCATTTCTGTTTTTACAATATAACAATATACAATTTAAAAATAACACATGCAGAAAGAGATGACAAATATACTCCTAAGAGAACAAGAGAAGTCTTTCATACATTTTACATACCTGTAACAGCCACGAAGGGTACATGAAATACTCAAAAACAAGTTACTGAGAAACACTTGGAAACTGAACACTCCTAACAAATGTGTTACTACTTTGAAATGCAAACACTGAGATTTAAGAGTATCTTCAATTGCAGTTAGTATATAACACAGATGCTGGACAACATGGTATAATAAAAACTTACATACCCCAGGTAGCACTTGCAATGCGTTATTATCCATCCACAACTCCCTTAAATTTTGTATTTGATCCAGAACTTCAGGCTGGGAGAGAAGTGGGGAGAAAGGAAAGAGGAGAAGAAACCAAATTAATCTTTTCATATTACAGTATAAGGTATAATTTCTTGGTCTAGAACTTATATTTGGGAATCTAATGTTAATCCTCTAAGAAATTCCAAATTTAACAAACCTTTAGCAAAACTGGTGGTCCCCGAATTAGCCAACCTAGAATTAATCTGAAAACAATCAGAACAACCTTTAAAAAACATGCTGTTGGGTATCAGTATGAAATTGCCTTCTCTACCCAGGAGAGTTGTGTGTTTCACATACTAGTTCTTTTTTTTAAATATTTTTTATTGATTTCAGGGAGAGGGAGAGAGAAAATGATGAAAGTCACCTGCTGAGGATTGGGCCTACAACTCAGACATGTGCCCTGACTGGGAATCGAAACCATGATCTCCTGGTTCATAGGTTGATGCTCAACCACTTAGCCACACTGGCTGGGCTCACATTCTAGTTCTTAATACACAGACAATTGCATTTTTTATTTAATCAAACTGCTTACCTGAATTCTAAAAAAAATAAAAATGTATTCTCCTTTAACACCCTATAATTATCATTTGGAGCATTTATTACACTCTATTCAATAAGTGCATTGTTTCTGTGCACAGGTGGGGTCTGGTTGGCGGGGGGAGGGATAGTGAGCGGTTGGCTCCTGATCGGGTGGGGGGGGCGGTAGGGGGTGGTGCTGGCCAGGGGGAGGGGCTGTGGGAAGTTGGCCAGCTAGCCCTGCCCTCAATTGGGGTGTTGGGAGCTAATTGGGAGCAGGGTTGGCCGGGGGGCGGGGATTGGGGCACAGATCAGGCTGGTTGGCTGCCTCAGTGTGCATCATAGCCATCGGTTGTTCCAGTTGTTCTAGATGTTCCGCCAGTCCATTTGCTGGGCTTTTATATATATGGAAAAGCTTTTGAAGGGCAGAAAAATGTTTGTTTTTTAATCATTACAACCTCATATCCCCATTGTTTGCCACAGTACCTGACACACAGTAGGTTTTTATCATATGTGTTAGTGCCTTACATATTCCCCTCCAGGAATTACATTACCATGAGGTGATGACAATATGAATAAGACACACTCATTTTTAAAAATTAATCTTTATTGTTGAGATTATTACAGATGTTCCTCCCCCCCCCCCCCCATAACTCCCCTCCACTGGGTTCCCACCCCACCCCAGGCCCTCGTCACCCTATTGTCTGTGTCCATAGGTATTGCCTACATGCATATAAGATCTTTGACTAATCATTTCCCGCACCCCCTTCTCTCTGAGAATCATCAGTCTGTTCCATTTCCATGCCCCTGATTCTATTCCATCCACCAATTTATTCTGTTTATTAGATTTTTAAAAAATTAAATCTTTATTGTTCAGATTATTACAGTTGTTCCTCTTTTTTCCCCTCATAGCTCCCCTCCACCCGGTTCCCACCTCACTCTCTGCCCTTACCCCCTTCCCCCCCCCCCCACTGTCCTCATCCATAGGTTTATGATTTTTTTCCAGTCTCTTACTGCACCCCCACAACCCTTTCCCCCCAAGAATTGTCAGTCCACTCCCTTTCTATGCCCCTGATTCTATTATATTCACCAGTTTATTCTGTTCATCAGATTTTTTATTCACTTGATTTTTAGATTCACTTGTTGATAGATATGTATTTGTTATCAGTAATTTTTATCTTTATCTTTTTCTTCTTCTTCCTCTTCTTAAAGGATACCTTTCAGCATTTCATATAATACTGGTCTGGTGGTGATAAACTCCTTTAGCTTTTTTCTTATCTGTGAAGCTCTTTATCTGACCTTCAATTCTGAATGATAGCTTTGCTGGATAAAGTAATCTTGGTTGTAGGTTCTTCCTATTCACCACTTTGAATATTTCTTGCCACTCCCTTCTAGCCTGCATAATTTCTATTGAGAAATCAGCTGACAGTCATATGGGTACTCCCTTGTAAGTAACTGAATGTCTTTCTCTTGCTGCTTTTAAGATTCTCTCTTTGTCTTTTGCTCTTGACATTTTAATTATGATGTGTCTTGGTGTGGTCCTCTTTGGATTCCTTTTGTTTGGGGCTCTCTGTGCATCCTGGACTTGTAAGTCTATTTCTTTCACCAGGTAGGGGAAGTTTTCTGTCATTATTTCTTCAAATAGGTTTTCAATATCTTGCTCTCTCTCTTCTTTTGGCACCCCCATAATTCAGATGTTGGTATGCTTGAAGTTGTCCCAGAGGCTCCTTACACTATCTTCATATTTTTGGATTTTTTTTCTTTTTGTTTTTCTGGTTGGGAGTTTTTTGCTTCTTTGTATTTCAAATCTTTCACTTGATTCTTGTGATCCTCTAGTCTGCTGTTGGATCTCTGTATAATATTCTTTATTTCAGTCAGTGTATGCTTAATTTCTAGTTGGTCCTTTTTCATATCCTCGAGGGTCTCACTAAATTTATTGGTGGTTTCTAGAAAATTCTTGATAACCTTATAACCATGGTTTTGAACTCTATATCCAGTAGTTTGCTTTCCTCCATTTCTGTCATTTGTGACCTGTTTCTTTGTCTTTGCATTTTGGCTGCTTCCCTGTGTTGATAGAGTGACTTTGTGTGCTCGGTGTCCTATAGGCCCAGTGGTTCAGTCTCCCCAATTACCTGAGGTGGACACTCTTGGTACACCCCTTTGTGGGCTTTGTGCACAGTCTTGTTGTAGTTAAGCCTTTATTGTTGTAGGTATCACTGGGAGGAATTGACCTCCAGGCCAATTGGCTGTGAGAATCAGCTGTGTTTATGGTGGGAGAACTTCTGTGCTGGAGACACCGTTCTCAGGCCCCGGGTCTCAGTGTCCCGTGGTAACATCTGCAAGCACCTCTTAGAGAAAGCTGCCCTTGAGTTCCACCCAATGCCAGACAGTCCAGTTTCTCCCTGTATGAGTCTGGGTCCCCAGAGACTCTCCAGGAACTGGAGCTCAGAGCAGTCGGGAGCTTGAGATTCCCTCCCGATTGAAAAAGACAACTGCGTCCTCAGTTGCCAGCCCTTTCTGCGTGCGCCTCCTTACCTCTGCCCTTTACTTCCGTACCTCCTATGAGTCTCTGTGTGCTTTTCTCTTTTCTTCTAGTTGTAGAATTTCCACTCAGCCAGCCTTCCTGTGGTTCTGGATGATATCCGTTTTGTTTTCTAGTTGTATTTTTGAAGTGGTTGTGTGAGGCAGCAATTTCAGGTGTTTACCTATGCCGCCATCTTGGTTTCTCTCAGTCTAGGTTTTTCTGTTCATTAGATTTTTTATTCATTTGATTTTTAGATTCAATTATTGATAGATATGTATTTGTTGTCATTTTGTTGTTCATATTTTTTTATCTTTACCTTTCTCCTTCTCCTTCTCCTTCTCCAAAAATACCCTTCAGCATTTCATATAATACTGGTTTGGTGGTGATGAAATCCTTTCTTTTTCATGTCTTTGAAGCTGTTCATCCAACCTTCAATTCTAAATGATAGCTTTGCTGGGTAGAGTAATCTTGGTTGTAGGTTCTTGCTATTCATCACTTTGAATATTTCTTGCCACTCCCTTCTGGCCTGCATAGTTTCTGTTGAGAAATCAGCTGACAGTTGTATGGACACTTCCTTGTAGGTAACTAATTGTTTTTCTCTTGTTGCTTTTAAGATTCTCTTTTTGTCTTTTGCCCTTTGCGTTTTTATTATGATGTGCTTTGGTGTGGACCAGTCAGAAATTAAGCATACACTGACTGAAATAAAGAACAATATACAGGGATTCAATAATAGACTAGAGGATCTCGAGAATCAAATCAATGATTTGAAATACAAGGAAGCAAAAAAAATACCCAACCAGAAGAGCAAAAAGAAAAAATAATCCAAAAATATGAAGATAGTGTAAGGGGCCTCTGGGACAACTTCAAGTGTACCAACATCCGAATTATGGGGGTGCCAGAAGAAGAGAGAAAGAAATTGAAAACCTATTTAAAGAAATAATGACAGAAAACTTCCCCTACCTGGTGAAAGAAATAGACTTACAAGTCCAGGAAGCACAGATCCCAAACAAGAGGAATCCAAGGAGGACCACACCAAGACCCACTCATTTCTTATCTCTTCATTTATCAACAAATAATTATTTGTTGTGGAGATGCCTACTATAGGAAAGGCACAAATCAGAATCCACAGTTATTCAAACTTCGTTCCTGCCTTGACATAGCTAATAATTTAATTGGGGAGACGAATGTATATGAATAACCAGAACACAAGATAGCACATGGGAGGAAAGAATAATGTAGAGAAGTTCAGAGAAAGGAGAGAGAGAATATAACCAAGGTGTAACACATGGCACATGAGAAAACACTTTAATTACCTAAAAAAATGTCTCTAAATTCTGTCTCCTGGGAAGCAGGCTGAATACAGAGGATAGATGTTGCTATTGCTGCCAGCATCATTTCTTGATTTGTGATGACATTTTCCTGATTTCTCTTTAGAAATGATCAGTTCCCCAACTGTAAGGAGAGGTGTCCAGTGAAATAAAAGACTGAAGATGTCCACTCAGTTTTGGAAATAGTAGGACACTGGTAACCTTAGTGATAACTGTTTCATGCTATAATTATATATTATATAGAGTTGAAGATAAGAGGCAAATAAATGGGCACAACACAGATAGAATATTATTTGTAAAGTTTGGATGAGAAGAGAAAAGTTGAGGGGCTAGAAAGAAATTGAGGAAGTCAAGGGAAAAGAAAGTTGATAGAAAAACACTAGCAAAGAGGGAAAGATTAAAGACATAAAATAGTATAAAATTAATGGAGTAAATTCCGAAAAACAAGAAAAAAAGATGAGACTGATAGCACAAGAGAAGGTACTGGCCTTGAAAAGAAGTGAGACACCTGAAGTTCAAGGGAAGATGGTAAGGATGGTGTGGATGTAAATGGGCATTTTGTATGGGAGGGGGCTGAAGTTGAGAGAGAGCATGTCCGAAAGCCTCAAATTTTCTTTTAAAATGAAACAACATAACTATATATT